AAGGAAGCACTTACTTTGAATATGTCTAAGTGAATTTGATGGAGATCCACAGTATATACACAAGCAAAGACCAGTATATAGTTTGCTCAAACTTTCAGTGCTCCACACTGTCATACTGTAGATGGTGATGATGGACTCAGGTAAGCAGTAATCCAAGAAAAGTAGATTTCAAGCTTTATTTTAATACAAGTTAAAATAAAAATACCCTTAGCAAAAATGTTTTCTGTTTGTTTATATTTTATCAGTGGCTATACTATCACCTTAGCCATAGAACAATTAGGTTGAGTAATATGTTATATGTGGTAAAGGTGTTATAGTTATCATTATTTCCATTTGAAAGGGTCAACATTTTCATCAGCACTTTACGGTTATATGATGGGGATATATCACAACAATTATTTGGCATACAAAAGTAGATGTGAAGATTTGTTTTGGTCTGATCAGCAATTAGTCCAAATTAGTCTGATCAAGTGATCGGTTGAATTCCTGAACTCCAAGTTGAATACAAATCAAATGAGCTGCACAATGGCTGAACATGTTCATTTTGATTTGTGGTTATGATTCCACAAGTGGCGCCAAAAAAAAGAGGTGATTGATGAGAAAAAAGATCACTGATGGCTATGGGACAGACACTAAATGTTGTTTTTATTCACAGACTAAATGAGACAGTAAAATACAGGGAAAAATGTAGTAGTAAAATTATATACCCGCTCTGACCCCACACTTCTTGCTTTCCCTCCCCTTTCCTCTTTCCTTTTTTCTCATGCATACTTTTTTCACTTTGCCTTCATACTCTAGGGCAGGCATAGACAACCTTCGGCACTGCAGATGTTTTGGACTACACCTCCCATGATGCTTTGCCAGCATTATCGGTGTAAGAGCATTGTGGGGGATATAGTCCACAACATCTGGAGTGCCGAAGGTTGCCTACCCCTGCTCTAGGGCGTGGGATATGGCCTAATCGGAAACCGCAATTTGGTATACCTGCCTACTCAACAGAAAACACACCTGACACATGCCCCATCAGGCGCTGAATGGAGGGGTCACACCATTTATCCTTATCTAATGTTTTTTATCGTATTTGTTAGCGTACAATGGGTGAACACACTTAAACATATATGTGTAATGGGACCTACGTTTCCATTGTTGTGTCACTGAGGGACCTACGAGTCCGATACTATTTTTTAACTGCAAAAATCTGAATAAAAAGAAATTTACAAACACAAATGTTTTTTATATATTATATATATTATATTTAATAAATGTGTAATATATAAAAATAGATATTTTTTTTACTGCTCCTCCTGTTTTTCTTTGTATTGATTACTTGTTCTTACTTGATCTGTAAACCAAATGGTGTAAAAAATGCACTTATCAATTTATATTTAGGTAGTTCCCAAATTTACAAACTAATTGGTTCCAAAGCCTAGTTCATAAAGTGAGAGTTCATAAAGTGAGAACTAATTTCCTATAGACCGCAATGTAATAAGCATATGTTCCGTTCATGACCAAGAAATTTTACTATAGAAAACCTAAATTATTAAGTACAAATACAAAATATAGGCATAACAAATACATATATGTTGTAGGAACAGAAATACATAACATATTGAATTCTTCATCAAATCATCCTCAATCATCATCGTCCTCAATGAAGAGACATGTTGCACTTGATGAATGGGGCACCGCACAGTCCACTCTCAGTTGTTTGGTACTTTGGTTGAAGTCTGCACCTCACTTATTTCTGGTTCATTTGAGACAGAACTAGTCACATCAGCTTTGTGTAGACAAGCTGTGATAGTGGTTTGCTTCCAACACATTCTTTTTGTTGTAAATTTCCTTATAGCAGGCATAGGCATTTCTTAAATCTCTAGCAACTTTTCTACTTCTCTCAAAGTTAGAATCTTTTTCAGAGAAGGCCCACATTTAAATGATACCCTAGGCCTAGGGCATCCAAAACCATTACTTGAGGTGCAAGACATACAGAATCATCCACAGAGAACAGAAGAACCACAAGAAATACAAAAACCACTGGAAACTCCACTCTGCAGAGGATATGACGGTGGTATTCAACTTATCCAACAGGATTTTGACTCCAGACATGATTCTCTTTTGAAAAAAGAACTAACGTTTGTCCCAGTAATGAAACCAGATCAATTTTACACAGATATCGAGATGTATATTTTACGCTTTATATAGTAATGAATTGAGGAAGGATTGGACAGTGACATACTCGAACCCATTCCCTATGTGGGATAAAAAGAACATCAAGGCATCACGTTTGTCTATTCTACAGATCTTCATACAAGCAGTTAAAGTTCATGTAGGCAAGGTAGCAAAGAACCCTCCAAGACACTGACATAATCTCACAAAAGGGGAGAGAACAGCTTTATTTGATTTGATGCATGAACCATTTATTATCATACAGCCTGCAAATAAGGGAGGGGACATAGTGATTCAATCATACTCTCAATACAAACAGGAGATAGTTTGACAACTGGATGACAGTTCTGCATATTGCAGACTCAGTTTTGATCGAAGTAAATTCCAAAAATCAATCAGTACCTATATTGACATCGTTCTCCAGTTGGGATACTTGGATGATAACTTCCCCACATTTTTGTACATACCTCATCCAAAACATCTGGTTATGTACACACCCCCTAAATTACATAAAGATGCTGTGAACCCATTTGAACGACCAATTGTATCAGCAAGGGAGGCTGAGTTGAGCCTATAGCTATATTTGTTGACCTTCACTTTAAATAGAGTGTGCAGGCCCTTCCCACATGTTTGAAAGACTCACAGGATTTTATTTGTCATATTTGGACTGTGACAGAGGAAATAATATTAGTTACTTTGGATACTTAAACCCTGTGCACCACCATACTCCATGAGCAAGGTATACAGGCTTTGAAAGATGTATTATGTTCCTCTGCTTCTGACACTGTCGCCAATAGAAACATAGAATGTGACAGCAGATAAGAACCATTCAGGCCATCTAATCTCCAAAATTTTCTAAATATTTTAATTAGGCCTTGGCCAAATCATATAGCTAGGATAGCTTTATGTCTGTCTCACATATACTTAAACTCCCTCACTGTGTTAACCTCTACCACTTCAGCTGGAAGGCTATTCCATGCATTCACTATCCTCTCAGTAAAGTAATTGTAACGGATCACCTGGCACCCCGACTGGGTACCTCCGTTGAAGGATGCTCCTAGCGCTTCCTGAGGACTCCAAGCACTGCAGCAGACACCACAACCACCGAACCGGAGAAGCATATGAATCCTCTCAAGCATATGAATGCTGTAGACAGCTGAATAGGAACCATACGAATAGGTTTACTCTCCTAGCAGTCAAACTGGAACAGCATACAATAAATCCTTCCCCCAATAATGAGACGACACTTCACTTTGAGGGTTAAAACAGGAACTCAGGTGCTGGCACACCCAGCCTGGTTTTTATTACAGTCTTGTAAATACAGGACCGCCCACAGGGAGGTATAAAACAACCAATCACATCACAGTTACATCCCACATATTCCCTCCCCTTATCCTGAGAGGAAACTCAATTATACATACAGTTAAAACATACCTTCTACCCAACTTTCATAACTCCAAAACCATACATCACATTCACATAAAATTACATATTCACAATCAATCCATTCAGGGGAACAACATATTCAAAAATGGCACAAATCAGACAAGGGGTTCAAAAGTTAGTAAAAAGTCCTTTGTGACTAAATGAAGCATGGCTTTATGGCCCAAACCAGTTTCAGAGTCTTCTATCCTGGAGATAAGTAATTCAATTATCTCCCAGGACAGACACAAGACTCCATTAAGCACATGGTTGCAAAAGACACAAAACACTTTAAAATACATAAAGTCACTTTTTACACATAACACACAGACATTTCACATATCCCCAGATAGCTGGGATCTGAGCGCACAAAACTACCGAATAGTGCTCAGATCCTATTCACACAGTTCAATTGCCATGGAGCCAAAGTCTTTAACTACACGAATGGGCTCCATGGCATAGCTATCTGGGTTAACACATTCACATAAAGTCTGGTCCATAGTCCAAAGGCAAGAGGCGGGCAAGCAGCCCCCTCCAAGGACACGTGGCGAGGCCGGTTTTGCCACAGTAATACTTCCTGATATTATATTTAAACCTTTGCCCTTGTAATTTAAGACCAGGGCCGTCTTTAGCGCGGGGCAAACGGGGCAGCTGCCCCGGGCCCAGTTGCTCCTGAGGGGGCCCCAGAGCAGCTGCCCCGTGGGCCCCGCGATTTCAGCAGCCCCCATGTACCCGGCGGCCGGCGGTGCAGCCGCACCGGCCCGCCAACTAAGGAGGCCCCCGGGTGGCCCATGCACTAAGGGCCACCCTGTGGGCATGTGGCAGAAGGGGGCCGGTCGGGTGCTGTGACGCTTAAACAGCGCGACCGGGCCCCTTCCTGTACCGGCTGGGAGGAAGTGAGTACCGCGTGTCACTTCCTCCCACCGGAGATAGCCGCGCGGGAGGAGGAAGGCAGGGAGGAGGGGAGTTCCAGAGAAGAACTCCCATCTGCCTCAGCCTGCCACTGGACCCCAGGGAAACCACCCTCCATAAAAAGGTAAGAACCTGGAGGGTGGTTAAATGTATGTCTGTATGTGTGTGTGTTAGTATGTCTGTATGTGTGTGTGTGTGTGTTAGTATGTCTGTGTTTGTGTGTTTGTTAGTATGTGTGTGTGTTAGTATGTCTGTGTGTGTGTGTTAGTATGTCTGTGTGTTAGTATGTCTGTGTGTGTGTGTTAGTATGCCTGTGTGTGTTAGTATGTCTGTGTGTGTTAGTATGTCTGTGTGTTAGTATGTCTGTATGTGTGTGTGTTAGTATGTCGGTATGTGTGTGTGTGTTAGTATGTGTGTGTTAGTATGTGTGTGTGTGTTTTAGTATGTCTGTGTGTGTGTTAGTGTGTTAGTATGTGTTTGTGTGTTAGTATGTCTGTGTCAGTATGTCTGTTTGTGTATGTATGTCAGTATGTCTGTGTGTGTCTATGACAGACATACTGACATACACACACAGACATACTGACACACACACACACACACATACTGACATACACACATACTGACATACACACACACAGACATATACACACACAAACATACTGACATACACACACAGACATACTAGCACACACAGACATACTGACATACACACAGACATACTAACACACCACACAGTGACTGTGTGTATGTCTGTGTGTGTATGTCAGTATGTCTCACTGTGTTCCAGTGTGTGTGTGTGTGTATGTCAGTATGTCTGTGTATGTCAGGGTATGTGTCTGTGTGTGTCTGTGTCAATATATCTGTCAGTGTATGTGTCTGTGAGTATGTATGTGTCTGTGTGTGTATCAGTATGTCTGAATGTGTGTCAATGTTTGCCAGTATATATTTTTGTGTCAGTGTATGTGTGTGTCAGTATGTATCTGCAAATGTTTTAATGTGTCTGTCTGTGTGTGTGTCAGTATGTCCGTCAGTGTGATTGCGGGTTGGGCGTAATGGGGAGGGAGGGTGCAGTGACAGGGCCCAGGGGATTATTTTTGCCTAGATTAGGTGTTTTTAAAAAAACTAATAAAATCTGTCAACATTGAAGTTGCTGTTTAGTGAATAGGTGAGTGCGCTGGATCTTGTGTATTGTATACTTTGGCCTCCAGCAGCACCCCATTTATGCATGTTCAGGTGAGTGCAGCCTCCCCCCCCCCCCGTATATATCTGTATATATATATATATATATATATATATATATACTATATGCAATATATGCGTGTATAGGAACCATTTTACTGTTCTACTTTCTCTTTCTCTTACTTTCTGGGAATTTGTTTATGTGCTTTGCCAACAATTAAAATGGCAGCCGGATATCCCTGGGCTAAAAGTTTATATCAGTGACGGCGAACCTTTTTGAGCCCGAGTGCCCAAACCGTAATACATGCCAAATTTTTTTTCCCTCAAAGTGCCAAAACGCCAATTAAACCTGAATACTGAGTTTTAAGTTTAGAAAAAACAACTCAGACAGTTGTCCAAGCTAATTAACATCTCTGTGTGTGTATTAAGCAGTTTGTGTGTGTGCTCGGCAGTCTGTCTGTATGTGTATTTAGCAGTCTGTCTGTGTACTTAGCAGTCTGTCTGTATTTAGCAGACTGCTGAATACACACACAGACTGCTGAGTGTACACACACAGACAGATTGCTGAGTGTACACACACTGCATTGAGGGGTACAGTGTATGTGTTTGTGTCTGGGGTGATGTGTTTGTGTGTAGGGTGATGTGTGTGTGTATGTGTGGGGTGATGTGTGTGTGTGTGGGGGGTGATGTGGGGTGGTGTGTGTGGGGTGATGTGGGGTGGTGTGTGTGGGGGGGGTGGTGTGTGTGTGTGTGAGGGGTGATGTGTGTGTGTCTTTGTGTGGGGTGATATGTGTAGGGCAGGGGTGCAGTGTGTATGTTGTCCCCCCTCTCCCCCCCACTGTTTTCTTTCCCCCCATCCCTCCCTCAGTTTTCTCCCCCATCTCTCCCTCAGTTCCCCCCATCTCTCCCTCAGTTTCCCCCCATCTCTCCCTCAGTCCCCACATCTCTCCCTCAGTTCCCCCCTATCTCTCCTCAGTTTCATCTCCCTCGTTTTTCCTCCCCATTCCTCCTCAGTTTTCTTTCCACCCCCATACCTCCTCAGTTTTCTCCCCGTTTTCTTTCCCCATACCTTTCTTTTCCCACATACCTCCTCAGTTTTCTCTCCCCCATACTCCCACAGTTTTCTCTCCCCCTATACTCCCACAGTTTTCCCCCTATACCTCCCTAGTTTCATACTCTCAGTTTTCTCCCCCATACTCCCTCAGTTCCCCCTCCATCAGTTTTCCCCCTCCATCCCTCCTTTAGTTTTAATTCCCCCCCCACTTGTCCTTGCTCTCCTACCTGCGTGGCCGAGCGCACCGCGGAGCTCAGTTTCCTGTACCCAGCCGGACAGGAAGTGCTCTCTCTGTGAGCACTTCATTTCCGTCCGCCGGGTACAGGAAACATAAGTTCCTGTACCTCAGCGCTTAGACAGAGTGCCTGGCAGGAGGGAGCGCTATGCGCTCACCTCCTGCCAGTCACTCCGGTTTTGCGCCCGCTGGGTCGGTGCGCCCTAAGGCAGCCACTTGTGCCATCTTATGGATGCGCCAGCGGAGCGCACCCTCCCTCCGGCGACCTATGGCCGCGTGCCCACAGAGGGGGCTCGGCGTGCCACCTGTGGCACGCGTGCCGTCGGTTCACCATCACTGGTTTATATGGACTGTCATGAGGATCTCGGATGCATGCGAGGATGTGACATAATGCCAGTTAGTGAAATTATAACATGGCCGGCGACGGACTTCCTGTGTGGAGGAGTAACATGGCCCTTGGAACAGATATATCGTCTCACCAAGCACCAGATGTGATTCACCGACCGGTGAGTGTCAGGGGGGCAGTGTTACAAAAACAGATGGCGCCAAATATTTGTGTTCAGCAAAGTCTCCCGAGTACAACAGTACCCCTCATGTACAGGTTTGATGGTGTTTTCAAAAGTTACAGCGTCAAATATAAGGCTTGTGTTTCATTTTTTTCACATTAAAATTCGCCAGATTGGTTACGTTGCCTTTGAGACCCTAAGGTAGCCCAAGAATGAAAATTACCCCTATGATGGCATACCATTTGCAATAGTAGACAACCCAAGGTATTGCAAACGGGGTATGTCCAGTCTTTTTTAGTATCCACTTAGTCACAAACACTGGCCAAAATTAGCGTTTTTTGCATTTTTCACACATAAACAAATACTAACGCTAACTTTAGCCAGTGTTTGTGACCAAATGGCTACTAAAAAAGACTGGACATACCCCATTTGCAATACCTTGGGTTGTCTACTATTGCAAATGGTATGCCATTATGGGTGTAAATTTAATTCCTGGGCTACTATAAAGTCCCAAAGGGAACGTAACCAATCTGGCAAATTTCAATTTCAAATGTAACGTGCTATATTTGACCCTGTAACTTCCCAAAACGCCATAAAACCTGTACATAGGGGGTACCTCGCTGAATACAAATATGTGTATTTTATTGTAGTAAAAGCAAACAGTATTATGACATTGACAGTTAAAATGTCATGTAAAACTAAAAAATTTTTAAAAAAATCTAATCTTCTCCCATTTTTTTCATATTAAATTATGTTTCATAGCTAATTATTTGATATTAAATGAAAGCCCTGTTTCCCCTGAATAAAATGATCTATAATAAGGGTGGGTGCATTTACTATGAAAGAGGTGAATTACGGTTGGACAGACATGTAGCGCAAATGCCAGGTTTTGTATAACTTTTGTTTTGTTCACAACGTGTACATTTGGCTCCGTTCTTAAGGGGTTAAGCTGCCTTTTGATCAGATTTATATTTACATTTTTGCTTTCATATTTTTATATATTTATTTTTATATCCATTCCATTCTTTTCCCTTCTATTTTCTTTGTTTAATGGCTGTATCATAGTATACGGGTTTCAGCAACATGGTGTTTATATTGATTTTTTTTATGTTTATACTGACATAAGTTTTTTATAGGCAAGAATCTATTTTGTAGCTTATTTCCACTTCAATTTTTAAGACAAAATGTTTATGAATAAGGCATCTTGTTTTTGAGCATGTCTCTTCTAGTTAATATCCATTATTCATTATTTTTTGTGTTTTTTAAAATATTTTATTATTTTCTGCATTGATTGTATTTTTCTTATCAATTTTTTACTAATTCTGATTTTTAGAAAACAAATTGATCCAATTGAAATGTTTCCATTCCAGGATTATCTATAAGTATAAATACCGATATAATATAATACAGTTGTCCGATTGGGCATTTTTTCTGTTGGATTCTGTTTCTTGCTCTGTTTCCTCTCTTTCTAAATTTATTCTTGTCCCATTATTGATTTGCACTGGTGAGTTTTACTCACCAATTTCACCTGTACTTTTTTATTTATATTTACATTCCAGTATTTTTTCAGAAGTATAAATACCAATATATTTTTATATTATAAACATATTGCACTATCTAGACATGGACGGAAGATGTGACCAGTGATCGGTGTGTATAATTCTACTTTGGATATTCTACTTGCAATTAATACGTTTAAGCTTACTATGCTTATATAGGTGCGAGTATGCAAATATGGGAGCTGACTAACAGAGCCTACTTGTGTATTTCACCTTGTTTCATCGTAGCTTGTAATGCATTTGGATTCTCCCCTTAGCATCGGTAACTGCGGTAATACATGGATACAAATAAACCCAAAATGTTACAAATATGTGTCAAACAGTTTCCAGCCTCTTATTCTCTTGGACACGATTCGTTCCAGAATAATGACAGCTAAGTATAGCTAATCTAAACGCCCCTTTCTTTGGGCATACTCTTGAACAATCTGTTTGTTTTTATACTATTGATTTGTAATAAGCGTATAAGTGTAATAGGATTAATTTTGTACAGAGACGCTTTCTATATGGAGCTGTTTCAATAAGCAGCTTCTTCAACCATTTAATTGTTTTATACTGCCAAAAGTGAGGTTAATTTATATTGAATCATCCCTATGTGATCATTCACAACTCCCTGAAGAAGTGAGAACAACCCACGAAACATGTAGGAGTGGACAGTGAACAATCGCAGTTGTACCCCCCGGACTCTCTTTGACCCTTATGAGGCATCAAACCAGACTCCCATACAGCGAGGTGCACAGCCAATGATATTACCGGATATAGCCTTCAGCATTCAAATGGAGCACCTAATCTTGTATGACGGTCTCTGTAATATGCAATAAACCTCTCCATTGTATTTGAGTAGACTACATTGTGGGAACTAGATATTTGTATGTTTTATGTGTTTTTATTAATGGAATTAAAGAGTACTGCACCACACAGCCTCTTTTTGTGCTTTCTAAGGTTTATCTACTAAACTCCTAATGGGGATGCAGAGGACACCTGCTGCTATAAGCCACTGCGCAACTGTCTGTGTCCCTCCAAGTCAATGGCGCTACCATCATCCGCTCTACCTCTAA